CCCCGCCAGTACAGGTGGGGAAGACTGACAACTGTCCTGATTTGCCTGACCTTCCAGGTTTTGGTGCCAAAATTCCCACATCCTGGGAAACATTTCTAGGACACACAAAAAAATCCTGGTCTACAATGGGTATGGAAGATTGGGGGAAAAGACAAAACCCACCCATATGACAGCCCCCAAAATAGGGGATGAAAGCAACCATGCGGCTTTTAGTGTCAAAGAGATATAGCATAGATTTTTTTGACGTCTGTAGTTACTATCTGTGTTTCTCCCCTCTGGCCATTGATATTGGTAACCATGATTTGCAGTTCACAATAATCATCATCCACTGTCACATCATTCTAAGGGATATGACTTAAGTGTGCAGGTTAAGTGCATTGTAATCGGAAGCATTAGCAGTCCATCTTTGCCTTTGGCTGTGGGTTAACTGCTGTGCCTCATACAAGTTGATTTTTTTTTAACATTGTGAATATGGTGGCCAAATTTTATAAGAGTGGAGATAATGAAGATGAGAATGGTTATAACACTACCAACAGCATGACCCAGACATCACTGCAAAAGAAAGCTAAATGACTAATGTTGATGACCAATGGAAGATAATATAACTGGATTAGGAAGGCAAATAACAAAAACAGAGCATACTGCATAATATGCAGAGAATTTGGGATGGAGAAGAGTATATCTCCAGCACATATGGAGACTGAATCTTAACAAGTCTGGGATAAGAGAGACAAGTACTTCAGAATCTATCAAAAGTTTTTTAGTTTCTCAAAGACACCAATGCTCAACCCAAAATAGCAGCTGCTGAATTAGCTTTAGCTTGGGCTATCACGTGAAACAGTGCTCATTACTGTATGGTACCTTTGACTGCTCCATGGAACTGAATGATGTTACATTTCTTGATTAAAAAAAAAAAACACCCAAAAAACAAAAAACCTCCCCTTTAGCTCCTAAGGCAATTTGACCTGAAAAATGGGAGTTTCAAATTGGCTTCTTAATATTTATTAAGATTTTAAATGAAACCATAAACACACAAAACAAAGGGTGTTCTATCTTGTCCAAACATTGTTTTTAAAATAAATCTTAAAAAAAGGCAACCCAATTAAGCAGAACTTTTTGAATTTCTTTACTAAAACTGTAAACTTACTTGGAAGCTAACTCCAATTTCACAGGTTTAAATTACTTTTGTGTTTTAAAACCATTTTTAAAGGGGAAGAGAGGTTTAACTTATGATGACATACAATGTGCTTCAGAGTGTTTTTTAAATGATGAGCAGTTTAGACAGGAAGAGTTTACATGGTTAATTTATAGATGCAAAGAGCTTAATCGACAAATATCTGGCTTACCAAAGCAAGTCTGTAGATACAAAGTAGATAGACACTTTGGAGAGCTGGAAATGAATCCCTACAAATTCAGAAATGTGCTGTGGTAGTAAATAAAATTCTAAATATTCTGTGCTCAAACACTTTTGTTGAGAGAATACATACTCACTTTAATCATTATGTAAAAAAAAGAAAGATGTCCTAAAGGCTTCAGGTAGTTCAGAGAAGTATTAATGGAAAAGGAAATAAAGAATAAAAAATTCCTACTGTATTATAGAAAATAAAAGAAACATATCAGTGTTATTTTCTATTTAATATAGATAACATCTGTTTAATTAGTTCTACTGTATTTACATTCTCCTTTAAAAAATTCTTACATTTATGTATCTTAAGAATATAGAGTAATATAACCCACAAAATTTAAATATGCAAAAAAAAGAGTTAAAATAGTTTTAAAAAATTGCTGTTCCAAAGGACAGAATAAAAATACTGGGGCGCCTGGGTGGCTCAGTTGGTTTAGTATCTGCCTTTGGCTCAGCTCATGATCTCAGGGTCGTGGGATGGAGCCCTGCATCTGGCTCATTGCTCAGCAGGGAATCTGCTTCTTCCTCTCCCTCTACCAATCACCACAACTCGTGTTTGTCTATGGTCTCTCTCTCTCAAGTAAATAAATAAAATCTTTTTTAAAAATGAAAAAAAATTAAATGCCCAACTCTTAATTTCAGCTCAGGTCATGATCTCAGTGTGTGAGATCAAGTCCCATGTCAGGGTCTGCACTGGGTGTGGAGCCTGCTTAAGATTCTCTCTCTCTCTCTCCCTCTGCCCCTCCCTCCTTTAAAAAATGTTATATTTTTCTCACATATATTATTTGCTTAATTATAATTAGTCTACATATTATTACTAGTTGCCATTTTCAGCTAGTCCTATTGCTATTTTAAGTAATAGCATTAATGCAACAGAAAATAATATAACAGAATATGTAATTTCCAGTAAATACATGTTTTTATATTAAAGTAATAACATGTGTATAATTATTATTTATTTTCACAACTATCAGATTGGCAGTTTTTTTTTTTAAAGTCAGACATTCCCAAATGTTAGCAAGGATGTTTACAAAAAAGAATCTTATATATTGCATGTGGAGTATAAATTGGTACAACCAATTTGTGAAATCATTTAGAAATATCTAGTTCACTAATGTTGTGTAACAAATTACTAGAAACCTAGGAGCTTAAAACATATTATCTCACGGTTTCTGTAGTCCAGGAGTCTAGGCACAGCTTGACTGGTTCATTGGCTCAGGGTCTCACAGAGCTGCAGTCAAGGTATAAGTCAGCTTCTCTTCTTATCTGGTGGCTTGACTGGGGAAGAGTCACCTCCCAAGCTGTCCCTGGTTGTTGGCAGAATTTATTTTCTCATGGTTGTAGGACCGAGGGCCCTGGTTTCTTACTGGCTGTCAGCTGGAGGCATTCAGGTTCTAGAGGCCATCAGTGGTTCCCTGCCAGGTGCCCCTCTCCTTAGGCAGTTCACTGTATGACGGCTCACTTCTTCAAGCCCAGCAGGAGCATGCCTAGCTCCAGTCGACTAAGACAAATATAATCATGGGACTGACATCCCATTACCTTTGCCACAGTTTATTGGCTAGAATTAAGTCAAAGGTCCCACTCACATTTGAGGTGTAGGGATCAATATGGCAATTCCAGGGGGCAAAGATCATGGGGACCATCTTAAAATTCTGCATACCACAAAATTAAAGATGCAATATCCTAGGATCTAGCAGTTTCCCTGTATACACGAGAACGTGTGCAAAAAAGTTCATAGCAGCATTCTTTGTAACAGCAAAACTATTGTACAATTTTAAAATTTCTCAAACTACAGAAAGACAAGGTCAGAGAGATATTCACTAATAAAACACATTGTGTTGTATGATAACATTTTTGTAAAAATAACACATATATAAGGATTATGCTTCAGCAATGGCCTACTGTTGTTGAACAAATCCTCCCACCACTGAGAATAACTGGACAAAATATAAAAACATGAAGGCATGGAGGAGCCACCAAGGCAGTGAGAATTTGTGGGTCTAAGATCTGGAAGAAAAGAAAGCCATAAGAGGTGAGACTGACATTTGCCATCACTTTTCCACCCGAGGCGATTGCTAATTCTGAAAGCAGTGGCCGAAAAACTGAGTAGAGCTTTTAGCTGTCTCATGGGGCTGAGGAAGTTGGGCTCAGGGAGAGAGGCTGGGCTAAGGAAGAAAGGCCCTAGCTAGCAGTAGGGGTGAACTGCAAAGAAACTAGTTTTCACAAAGACTGAAGTCCAGCTCTGAACAATCTTAGTTCCCGATTGGAATAAAGTGATCTCCTCAGTTTAGCTGTGGTCAGGTATACTTGCCCCTAAGTCTCCCCCTTAGAACACCTTCCTTCTCATTTCCCTTGCTCAAACCCAACTCATCCTAAAAAAACAAAAAACAAAAAACAAAAACACACCATTCACCAATGGAGCAATGGAGAGTACTGATGCTGTAGGAAGAGATCCAGGACAAATGAACATTGCATAGTCTAAATTCAGGGAGCGTGGGCCTCCCTCCCATGCTTATAAATGAATCAAGCTACTAGATGTCTTTCACGTTGCTTCTCTGCCAGTATTTTAAATCAATTTGATAAGCCATGTCACATGTGAGACTTTCGATTCTGTGACCTCTGCTTGACTTGTCCTTCATCTTTTGAAGGCACTGTTCAAAAAGAATTCCATCCAATTTAACAGTAACAATTATTTGCCCAAACTTTCCTTTGCGAGCATGTGGGAGCGAAGCAACTATTTATGTTTCATTTAATTTCTTAATTATTTTTGATACTTCTCATACCTTATCAGGCAAAGGGTAAGTGAGAGAAACAAAAAAAACAAAACAACAGGAACAAAAAGAAAGAAGAAAGAAAAAAAAAAAAAAGAAAAAGAAAAAGGAATACCCAGAATCTTCTTCACACGTGCTGCCTGGGAACGCCTTAGACACGAGGCCCCTACTTTTAACACTTTTGCAATACTCCCTTGGCCTTCACTCATTCCATTATTTAAAAACATTTTTTTTTATTGGAGTTCAATTTGCCAACATATAGCATAACATCCAGTGCTCATCCCGCCAAGTGCCCCCCTCAGTGCCCATCACCCAGTCACCCCCACCCCCCACCCACCTCCCCTTCCACCACCCCTTGTTCATTTCCCAGAGTTAGGGGTCTCATGTTTTGTCACCCTCACTGATATTTTCATATACCACATCTTCTTTATCCATTCATCTTTTGTTCCATCATTCATTTAATAAACGTGTATTAGGTCCAAGCCACCACGTTAGAGGCTAGTAATAAACAGGTGAGGCAAGGATCGATCCGCCTAGGAAGAGCCGCGAAGACAGATTTGCAGACATGACTTTGCAATTCAACCCAAGCACGGTCCCACGGTCACTGCCCCGCGCTCCTCCAACCTCTCTGCCCCTTTACCGCGAATCTCCTCCTCCTCAGCGCGACCTCGCCCATCCCCGACTGTTTACTATTTAGGTTCCTGCTACCCGCGAGGGCGGTGCAGGGAAAGTGCTGGAAAACTACATCTCCCGGCAGCCTCTGCAGCAGGGCCGCCCGAAGGACGCGCGCAGGCGTGCGGGCCGGCCCCCGCGCGCAGGCGCACTGCGAACGCCCGCTGAGCTGGGTCTCGCTGCTGGGTGCGCGGCGGCGGAGAGCGAGGCCTGGTGAGCCCCGGCGCTGGCCGGCTGCGGGAGCGTGCGCGCGGGAGCGGTACGGCGGGCGGCGAGCGAGCCAGCGGCTCACGCCAGCGTCGGTTGCCTCGAGCCTGGTGAGTGCGGGGCCCCGCGGCTCCGGCCCCTCCCCCTCTCGCCGGCGGCTCCGGCAGCCCGCGGCGGGACCCGGACAGGCCCCGGGGCGAGGGCGAGGGCGAGGGCGGGGGCGGGGGCGGGGGCGGGCGCCGGCCGGGCGCAGCTCGGGTTCCTGGGCCCGGGGGCTCGCGGCGCGTCCGTGCGTCACGTCACGGGCCCGGCTGGTGTGACGGCCGCGCGGCCGGCGGAGCGGGGGTGGGGGTGGGGAGCGCTGGTGTGATCGCCATCGGGAACGCCGGTCGGGGCGGGGCGGCGGCGGCGGCGGCGGCGGCGGGGACTGCGGGGCGCCGGGGAGGCAGCGGGGCGGAGAGCAGGCGAGCGCCGCGGGTGGAGATCCTGTGAGCGGCGTCGGGAGGGAGCGTGTCGGCGACTCGCGGGTCGCAGCCCGAGCCGCGCGGGGCGTCGGGAGGCCGCGGGGCGGCGGCGGGGGCGGACGGCTGCGGCCCACGGATGTGGGGGCGCCCGGGGCCTGAGGCGGCCGCCGGGCGTGTGGTGAGGAGAGGCCTGACAACTTGGCCGGCGGCGAGCGCGTGGCGGGGGGGCGGGGGGCCGCGAGGTGTCCGCTGAGGGGGCCGAGCGCCGGCCGGAGTCGGGGGGAGGTCGCCTCGGAGCGACGTTGTAGGTCGACAGCAAAGCGTTTCAGGTGCCACTTTCCGTGGGGGGGGGGGGCGGGGGGGGCGCGAGGGGCGGCAAATTTTCAGAGCATTTTTTTTTTAAGGTTTAGATTCACAGCGTGAGCCGTTTTGAAGTCCCATTTTCTAAACCATGCTAATCAATAATAGTTGTAACTTTCTCAATCCTTTTCTTTTTTTACCCCTTCCCCCCTTTCAAAAAGCCGTTCCTTCTAAATCCCCGGGTCTCAGCGCTAGATGAGTGATTCCCGTCCCCCTCCCCCTCCCTCCTCTCCCGTCGCTTCCAGGCTCATTCTTGACCATTAACTCGTGCTGGGTGTTATGTCATATTTTTGATATGGATCCAGAAGTCCTCCCCCCCCCCCCCCCCGTGAGGAGATGGGATTTTGCACCTTGTCAAAGGGAAGGGATCATGAAGTCTATTGTATTTGTACCGAAATCCTGCATTCTTTGGCGGGGGGGGGGGGGGGGGAGGGCACCGTGTCTACCTGATTGTGAGACGGAGGACTTGGGAGAAAGCGATGAACATTTGATCTCTTTTCCAGGTATTGCGCCGAATACCTCGGGTGTAGTAAAGCGTGCAGTCCCCACAGTAACTCTGAAGTAGGTGTTGATTTTTTTTTTTTTTTTGTTTTCGATTCTACACATGAAACTTTGAAGGCCAGAGAAGTTAAGAACTTAACCTAAAGTCATCCAGCTCTTACTGGATGGAACCTAAGAATTCAAGAGCACCGCCATTTTAAGAATTACTTCTCCAAGGGGAAAAAAAAATTATTTCTCCTCTCCTTCATACTTCTTCGTTGTGTTTTTTGTTAAAATTTTTAAAAGATTTAATTAATTAATTAATTAATTAATTGGAGAGAGAGGCAGAAACACAGGCAGACGAAGAAGCAGGCTCCATTCAGGAAGCCCGATGCAGGACTTGATCCCGGGACCCCAGGATCACGCCCCAGGCCGAAGGCAGGCGCCAAACCGCTGAGCCACCCAGGGATCCTCTGTTTTTTGTTTTTTGTTTTTTTTTTTTTTTTGATCCTCTGTTTTTTTGTTTTTGTTTTTTTTAATTTTTATTTATTTATGATAGTCACACAGAGAGAGAGAGAGAGAGAGAGGCAGAGACATAGGCAGAGGGAGAAGCAGGCTCCATGCACCGGGAGCCCGACGTGGGATTCGATCCCGGGTCTCCAGGATTGCGCCCTGGGTCAAAGGCAGGCGCTAAACCTCTGCGCCACCCAGGGATCCCTGTTTTTTTGTTAAATTTAACGTTCATTGAGTGAACACTTACTGTGTGCGCTCTGAGACCAGGGATGCAGATGTAGCCGGAACACGCTTGACTGTGTCATGGAATCGACAGTGGGGAGCGGAAGACTAACATAAGGAATACAAACACAAGCTGCATGGCATTTTATCAGTTGTTGTAATTGAGCAGAAACTGTAATGTACTCTAGTAAATAGCAAAGGGAATTCAAATGGAATCCAGACCTGAGCCTTGAGAAGTTTACAGTCCAGTAGAGAAACAGAACATACATCCTGTAAAAACCTAGAGTAAACTATATGACAAGTAAACACCTCACCTGAAGTCAGTATACTCGCATTTTGTTACTTTAGGCCCTCTTCACAGACCTGTGGTTTAATGTTATAGGCTTTGATTTTTGTCTAGGATTGGAACACGGAGATAATTTTTTTTTTTTTTGAGAATTTTCATGGCCATCCGAGACTCTAATTTACTGGTCCTTATGAATACTTTAGAGCCAAATTCTTTTTAAGACAAATTGATAGACCTTTGAAAAAAACAAAACAAGATAAAAAAACAAATGAGGGCTTTCATTAGGTCGTTTGTGGTTTTTTTTTTTTTTTTTTAAGATTTTATTTTTTTATTCATAGACAGAGAGAGGCAGAGACACAGGGAGAGGGAGAAGCAGGCTCCATGCGGGACTGGATCCCGGGTCTCCAGGATCACACCCCAGGCTGCAGGCGGCGCCAAACCGCTGCGCCACCGGAGCTGCCCAGGTCGTTTGTGTTTTGTAAGCCATCCTGTTGCTCTTTACACTTTGGCTGTCCAGAGGTTCAGAGCTGTGTCTAATATTTGTGATTTTCCTTAGCCTCATCTATGTTATAAACTATACCAGATAGCTTGGAATTTCTCTCATTTGTTTCCGGGACTATTTTCTTTGTTTTCTGTTGCTCTCAATTTCGTTTCTACCTTTTTCCCTTATATTTGAGATTAGGGATTCTATCTTTTTAGCGCCATTGTTATAGCCTATGTTTGCCAAATTAGTGATTATCTTGGTTTATGATGTTTGTGTTTTTAAGTCTGTCAGATTGTTTTTAGAAGTACATATATACATTTATACTTTGTATAAAATCAATTAAGACTTTGGACCATACAAGTAAAAGTGACTGACCTAGTGATAAAGGCAATTCCCTTTTACCCAAAGTCTTTGTTTTAAGATCACCATACTCTGCAGGTATTGTGAATTCAGCCATAATAATGGAAGAAAATGTTGGAAATGGTAAACAATTCAATTAGCTGATTGGGGCTGATTTCGCTCTGTTCTTGCTGCAGTAAGCAGGAGGTGGCCCCAGGCCAACGGGGGGCCAGATAGGGCCTGCATTAGAAAATTTTGAGGCCCTGAATTGAAAGAGCAGGAATGAAGACTGATAGAACATGCAGTTCTGGCGTGTGTGTGTGTGTGTGTGTGTGTGTGTATGTGTATGTGTGTTTAAGATGTTAACAACCCCACAAAACACAGATTGAAGTGATAAAATGTTTCTGACCTAGTGTAGTAGATTAATTAGGACAGTTCTTGAAAGCAGGCAATAATCCAGAACGTGGATAATGGGGATAATCTTCTTCACATAACAAGAATAATGCTGCCCTTCATATACAAAGATAAGTCTGCTTACTCATCGTGATTGATTTTCCAGCATGAGGAGGGATATGTGCTGAGTTGTCCATGAGTCTCTGTATTCTGACCAACAAGGCAGCTTGGGGCCAGAGTGGGGGCATGTAGCTAGGGAACAGAAAGGCAGGAGGGACTAACGTCTATTGATGGATCAGGCACTACATTAAGTGTTTCTACTTAATTATCCTTGCAAAACCACTTTGAAGAGGTGGTTACATGTACAGGGTGGTTAGGTAACTTGCCCTACTTCACATGATAGGTAATAGAGCTGTACAGGGCTGTTTGTACTATGATCACATCAACCATTGAAGCTTGATTTTGTCTTGGTTTGCAGTTCAGTCTCCTAAGCAGAACAAACTAGATGTTCTTTTAGCATCATGAAATGATAACTGTGAAGATCTAATTTACTAAAAGCTGAAGAAAGACTAAGTTCCTTGCTCTATAAGCTATTAAAAAATACAATTTTTAAATTAGAATACTATATATAAAAAACAGTTGTCCTCTGTCCTAGCCTTGCATTTTTAGAGGCTACCTTTTTTTTTTTTTTTTTTTTAAGTAGACTTCACGCTCAGTGTGGAGCCATATGCAGGGCTTGAACTTGTGACTCTGAGATCAAGACCTGAGCTGAGATCAAGAGTTGGATGCTTAACTGATTGAGCCACCCAAGTGCCCTTACACTCTATTTTTTAAAGCTGTTTACTCTCATATTAATAATTTGCTTCCATTGCTTTTTCCTGATATAGCAATTTCAGGCATTATCTATTGACTTTCCTCCATGAATACACACTGCCTCTTGCATCCTCCCAGTATAACTGACATAGTTCTTTATTAAGTCAGTATTCAGAGTGTAAAGTATTATAACTGTGTTAATATTCAGAGCTGAACCATGTAGTATATTATGATGTCATTTCTTATGTTAACCACTTTGTTTTTTTCCTCAGGATTTAATAATACCTCTCTCCCCACCTCCCTTCATTTCCTGAGATAGCTGTTCTGGAACTCCCTGTCCTTTTAATGCAGTCTGGACTGGTTACTTTCTAGACCTACTTGGTACCTTTATTCTAGAACTTCTGTGTCACTCTTTAAATTCTCTTTGCCTCTCTCCTTTGTTGGCTCTCCTGTTTCCCATATTTTCTTAGCCTCCTGAGCAAGGATACCTGGGAAGTAAAAACTTTTTGAGATTGTGCATGATTGAAATAAATCTCTATTCTGTTTTAACATTTTATCAATAATTTGGCTGGGTATAAAATTGTAAGCTTAAAAAGTGTGGAAGTCGTAGCTTGTTTTCTTACATTCCATTGTTGCTGTTGATGTCCAAAACCATTCTGATTCTTCTTTGTTTGTGACCCTCCCATCTTTCCCCCTGTCTCTAGAAACTTTTCAGTTATTATTTTTAACCCCTGAAATTTCATGATGATATACCTATCTAGGGTTTGGTGTGTGTTTGTTTTGTTTTGTTTTGCTTTTAATGGCATTCCATGGATGCTTACAAGCTGGAAACGTACATTCTTTAGTTCTGGGAAAAATTTTCTAAAATTATATTTTGGACCTTAGGTTAAAAGAGTTTTGAAGTTATGCTTCTCAGTTCTTGATGCACTATCATCAGACTATACAGGGTTCTTTAAATTTTCCTTTCATTTCTGAGCCCTATTTCCCCATTTTTAGCAGGTATCCACTGCATTGTGATTGATGTATTTCTTGATTATATATGAAACATTGAATCATTGTGAATAGTGGTGTGTGTGTATGTATTTAGTTTATTATAGATGTTTCTCTGTTTCTTGCTTTTTTTTTTTTAGATTGTTTTGGAGACATTTCTGTTTTGTTATGTGCACATATGGTTGTGCATAATGTAATCCCATAATACACATCTATCTACCACATTTTTTTTTCTTTCCCAGCTGAGTTGCCTTTATGGCATCACAGATACACTGTGGTAAATATACTATTACTTGTACCTTATTATGGACTTGTGTGAGAAATTCTCTGGGATATATACCTAGGAGTGGGACTCCTGGGCATAGAATCAGAGAACTAGTTTGTGTGCCTACTAGAACTACAGAAGGGTTCTTGTTTGCCCATATCTTTGTCAGTACTTGGTTTTATTCAGCTTTCTAATATTTTGCCAATCTGATGGGTATAAAGTGGTATCTCATTGTTTCAGTTTACACTCTCTCTCTAATTACAATGAGTTTGAGCATCTCTTGGATCCATTCAGGTTTTCCCTTTTGAAGATTGTTTTGCCTTTAGTTTTTCTTTTCTTTGGGTTGCTGTCTTTTTGGTTTGCAGAAGTTCCTTGTGGAGGTTAAATTTGAATGTTGATTTTAGGTTTGGAAAATATCTTTTCTGAGCCTGTTGTCTTTTAATTTTGTCCGTAGTGTCTTTCATTGAATGGGTACTCTATGTTTGATGCCTTGCTTGATAATCTCTTCCTCATCAACTTTTTTGTTCTCTGTTGCAATTTGTATTATTTGGGTATTGGAATTCATAGGTTGTTCTTTTAATTTTCTTTAATTTTTTTTTTTTATTTTTTTATTTTTTTTTTTACTTATGATAGTCAGAGAGAGAGCGAGAGAGAGAGAGAGAGGCAGAGACATAGGCAGAGGGAGAAGCAGGCTCCATGCACCGGGAGCCTGACGTGGGATTCGATCCCGGGTCTCCAGGATCGCGCCCTGGGCCAAAGGCAGGCGCCAAACCGCT